AATTACAATAAAATTATCACAGAAGCACGAAATATATTCCGTGCTTAACCCATTATGGTTTTCATTAAAAGACAAATTGTCTAATTTACATATATGCTAATGTAGCAAAAGCTAAAAATTGACAGAATACACGCTAATATAGCGAAAATAAAACAAATCAAAGCTGTATCTAAAAAGTATAAAAGTAAAAATAAAAGACAATTAAACCGCATTCTTAATGTTACCAATCATATTTTGTTTGAGTTTTGTCAAGGAGGAAGAGAGTCTTACTTCAACCGGTAAATTATTCCTAATCTGGCTCCCTTGTACCAAAAAGTGTTTGGAATAAAATGTGGTACGGTGTTTGGGTACCTTGACAGAGTTTTGGGATGCTGATCTAGTATATTTGTTGTTAGGCAAATTCAATTGATTAGAAAGATATCCTGGAACTAGATTATTTATACATTTGTACACCATAACACCTCTTTTGAATTTCAAATATTTGCCAATTGGTAACCACCCTAATGAAGAAAACATTTCTACTGATGGTGTATCAAATGGAGCATCCAACAATAATCTTGCAGCTTGTTTCTGCGCTTTTGACAGTTTTTGTAGACGATTTAAAGAGCATCCGCTCCATACTGTGCTACTGTACATGAAGTGGGGAAAAATACATGCGTGAAAAAAATTAAGTCTAGCTGAAAGTGGTAAATATTGACGGATGCGTCGAAGTAAACCCAAACCACTGTTAATCTTTGAAAAAACAGATGCTATGTGATCTAACCAAGATAAACTGATGTCAATTTTTACACCAAGGAGTTTTTCACTCTTTACTTGTTCAATACATTCCTGATCTAATATTAGGCTTAGAGCATCATCTATTCTGTTAAGTTTCTGTTTTGTGGCAATAACCATACATTTCGTTTTATTCCTATTTAGAATCATTTTATTCTCATTACACCAGTCTTGGACTTTACTCAGATCAGCTTGTAACTCATCCTGTACAATAGAAATAGAACTTCCAGATGCACTCAGAGTGGAGTCATCAGCATACATATCTGTACCTGATTTGTTAATAATCAAGAGAGTTTTTGGGAATATTTCCATGGATATCCAACCTGATGATATTTACATGTTTAAATGATTTTATTTCCTGAATTTGGACTTTCATTTAGCTTGGAAAATATAAAAGTGAGTTTTTTCATCAGTTATTGAATTTTTTTTTTTCTGCAATTTATAGTGTGCATGTACCTCAATTATGTTTGAGAAATATTGGAGGATTATTATTTTGTAACAGGGATTGTTTCATGCTAACGGAATGCATTATTGAATTTGATATACAATTTGGTGTGGCAGCCATATTGAAATGTCCTCAAAATGCGAACGTGATGTAAGGTTTTGATTTACAGATTTATATTTACCTGAAGTGATTGCTATGGTAGCCCTCTTGGTTCCAAAGGAACATTGTTCGACAACCAGGTCTATAATGAAAACAATATGTATCGTTCATTACTTTTGTTCATTAGATATTAAGGTTTTGCATCAGTCATCTGATAAAAAAACCAATGGAGAAACTTAGTTATTGCTGCAACTCCTTTTTTTGGATAAATTGAAATGTAAAATATAAGAGAGCATGCATCACTCAAATAGATCTTAGTTGTATTCATCAGAAACAAAGAATGATTATTTTCAAAACAAGAGCCCCAATGGGCCTGCATCGCTCACCTGGTATTGATTTCACAATTGTAACCTTAAAAGTGGAATAAAATAAAGCTACAGGCAAAATATCAGTGTCTTGAATTCAAGTCATTCAGAAGAACCTGTAAAACAATTTAAACACATTTAATTTGGTTATACAGGAGAAGTCGTTTAAGTTTTTTTTAAGACAATTGACCCCTGTGACCTTGAATATGGGCAAAGGTCATTCTGTTGAACAAACCTGGTAGCCCTTCATGCCAACATCTTTCTGGCCAAATATAATCCCCCTGTACCTTTTGGTTATACAGAAGAAGTCGTTTAAAGGTTTTCAAGACAATTGACCACTGTGACCTTGAATATGGGTGAAGGTCATTCATTTGAATAAACTTGGTAGCCCTTCATCCCAACATCCTTCTGACCAAATATAATCACCCTGGACCTTTTGGTTTTTCAGAAGTAGTTGTTTAAATGCTTTAAACCTATTTCACCATTGTGACCATTGCAAATGGATGAAGGTCATTCACTTTAACAAATTTGATAGCCCTTTATCCAAGCATGTTAATGGCCAAATATCATCACCCTAGGCCTCTAGGTTATTCAGAAGAAGTTGTTTAAAGATTTTAACATATTTGACCCCTGTGACCCGGAAAATGGATAAGGGTCATTTATTTGGACAAACATGGTAGCCCTTCATGTTTCTGGCCAAATATCACCCTAGGCATTTTGGTTACTGAGAAGAAGTTTTTTAAAGTGAAATGTTGACGACAGACGGATGGACGGACAGACGACGGACGCCGCACCATGCTATAAGCTTCGGGCCAGGTGAGCTAATAAAAAACATTATATAAACTGATAGCGACACTTTACAAACATCGTTCTGCTTTTAATTCTAGTATGGTACCCTAAACAACTATTTGTCAGTGTGTTTGCACTTATTGATCTGTCGGTTCGGTCTACAAAATAAACTATTTTTACCGCTGCAGAACATTATTTCCATCATACAGTTCGATAACCGAATCAAATATAATTCATAACTGAAATAGAATGAAATATGTAAACGTGATACATGAATCAAAATACAGTAATGACCCAGATGGACTGTATATATTACGCATTGAAATACAGACGGAAATGTCGGTGGAAGCTTTAAACTAAATTAAATACATAGTAATCAAAACGACTGTTCAATAACCCATCAAGTCCGGAGGAAGGAATAGACCTTCTGTTTCCCTAATGTTTTCGTTCTCTTTTCGTCGTTGTCTTCCTAGTCACCAGTCTTCAGATGACCCTGGTTGTTTACGTAAAATCAAATCACAACCAAAGTTTCTTTAATTCAATTAAATGGAGCTGGCTTCCTATTGCAACAGAATGTGGGTTGAATAAATTCGATAGGAAACAAAATGATAAAAATATTTATTCTATTTGCAAAATTAAAACAGTTTAAATTCCTAACAACAATGTACAAACAACGTTTTGCTTTTCATTGTATTATGGTACCCTAAACAATTGCTTGCATTTGTTAAAGTGAATGCACTCCCTAATTTGTCGGAATGGTCTTAACATTAACAAAATATTTTGTATTCCATTTCATACAGTTATATAATCCAGATTTAACCAGTACACAAATCACTCATAAAACACTAGGAGAATACTTATCAGTAAATTGGTCGTGTCTAATAATTAGACTTGTTTCATTTTTAACATCAATAGCTATAGCCAAGAAAAGTGTCGGAGACTTAATGAGGAAAAAATATCATCTACTTAATATACCATGTTGTGTAAATCCACCATGTGCCTGGATACGTTTTCACAATGTAGTAATGTGAAGTGAACATTCCGATTAATACCACATAGCTGATACCACAGACGTATTTATATACAGTTCGTGTTTATCTCATTCACCCCCAAAATTTCATAATGAACTATTCCCACCTTTAAATTGGAAGAGTTAAAATGTGTCTTCATAACCTATTAATCAATACAAATAATACAAACAGTTACAAAAATAGCAGAAAACGAGAGTAAGAATGAGTAAAATATTCCTAACTTAAATGAAACACAATTTTGTCTACGAGAGTTTGTGATTTTCATGTGAATTACAGTACTGAGACGACTGTGCCGTACCCTAGCAAGTTCGGGGGAAAAATATACCTGTTGTGTCTCACTGTAAGAGGCAAATAATGAGGGCCACTGCAGATTCCTGGGTTCATGGAAGAAATTAAAAGTGATCTGCTGCACCCGTTGCAACCATTTGGATTTTTAGTCACCTCTGGGGGAACCCAAGCAGGGACTATTCATTTTGGTTTCAGTCCCAGATTTTGACCTCTGTTGCCGACCACTGTTTTCGGCTTTCGTGTGTTTGCTTCTGTCGCGAGTTACAAGCTTTTGGTTAACTGAGATGTCGATTTAGGAATAGATCTAACAAAAAACCAAGAGGCGTTCCGAATTTCAAAATGAAGATGTTCCGAATATGAATCAGTCACCTTTGAGGTTCCCGAAGGAGTAGACTGTTATATTATATATTGCTATTGATTGATTATGATTTTTTTGTCTGACCAACGACTATATTGGTAAAATTTCTTTTTAAACCAATATAAATTTTGTAATAAAAAAGTCAGGTAGAAAAGCTCAAAAACGTCTCTTTTTCTTTATCATCTATTCACGCAGTGACAAAAGAAGACGTCACCTAGCAAAAGGGCAAACTTGATTTGACATGCCGTGTTTGTGCTTGCCGCCGGCACACTACATTCAAGCATACGCGCAATTTGGCGGACACAAATAACAGTTTGTATCGCTTTGTATTTCAACTCAACAATAAGTATCGTATTGTAACAATAATCTCTCAATAAGTTACCAGTGCCATACAAGCTTCTATAAAAACATAAACCGGCGCACCAGTCCTAGGTTGTGATTTTTATTGTGGAGCTTATTTACGCATGACCGCCCACTGTGACCCATTTTCCGGTTAGAATGTGTTTTTAGTGTAAATAAAGTGCCATTCAAATTGTTTATGGGCTCGCAGTGAGTATTACTTTTCTACTGCACGCGACATGCTAGTCGGGCAAACGTACAGATGTGTTTGTTGTTTTCTGACGTAGTATAGAGAAGACTTGTTGTTACTCAACAATGATGAAGTTTGTTTCTTTATTTGAACAAAGTGTTTTTACAGTCAATCACATTTTAATGCCATAAAGTTAAATAAAAGTAATTATGACCGAGCGTAAGCTGCTCATTTAGAACGATGTTTACCGTAGCACTGCGTCTAATGCATGTATGTATCAAATTATTAAAGAATATATGATAGACTTGTGAATCTTAAGAAACTTCGAGGTAGGAGATATTTTTATGTAGGATTTTCGTTGTTGGGACCTATGTTTCACTTCGGGATAACCGAGTTTTCAGAGTTCGAATTATCAGAGTTTTTATTACAAAGATTAAGAAGAGTTTTGGCCGGGACCGATGAAATACTTCGAGTTAAACGGGGTCTTCGAGTTATACGAGTTCGAGATAACGAGGTTCAACTGTAGTTCATTGCCATATTCAGAATTTATAATGAAAGCGCTCGACACATTGACACCGACATCTACGAGGTACCGACAAAACAATACCATGTTTTGCCGGTACAGTTCCACGTGGTCACCACGTGACGATACTTTACCGGCAAAACACGGCATTGTCATATTTATGTATATCGCTATTGCCAATAATATTCCTGTCAAAATGTAAGTACAAATGTGTTTAACAGCACTGTTGTGCATGTATATATTTCTTTTCTATGAAATCAACCAACAAAGATTCGGTCTAATTTAGGGATGTAAACAAAATTGAGGGTATTGTGGCATTTGCAGCTCTTTCTTCAAATCAGGTCTCCTTTCATAATATTTCCTAAGATCACTGATCGTTCTATCTGTAACATAAAGCATTTCTCTTAAGTTTCTCCACTTCCCCCTACATGTTGAAGGTACCGTAGGTGTAACAATACAGGTTGAGCACAGGGACTTGTATAGACTTATATGATACATATTAGCTAGAAATACGTATATATATAAGTATTTCTAGCTAATTGTATTATATAAGTCTATACAAGCCCCTGTGGGTTGAGCTTACCAGAATATATTGCAATACAGAAGGAAAATATTGCGATAGTGTCGCCATATAATTTCATAGTAAAAAATGGTATTTTTTTGTCTGATAATTGGGCTTAATGGGTGTGAAATGCTGTCATTAAATCTGAGATCATTTGTGTGATACATTTGTATTGAATTGTATGCTAGTAATAGCCTGGATTATGGTTATTACATGTAGCATATATATTTGACTGTTAGAACATGTTGCGATTCAGCAATATTTTATTATTGGCTTCGCATTGTGATAGATACATGTACGATATGGCCTGTGAATTGCGTATACTGGTTTTCCGATACATTGTTACACCCCTATAGTCTATACATGCTTTAATAAACCATGATCACACTAAATATCCCAATTAAGCATTGTAAGGTAGCTGATACTATATCATTTCCAGAATACACAAACTGAAATAGAAGGAAGTACTTCAACAGCTGCAGCAATACACTGTAAGTCATAACAATTAGTTGGTTTAATTTCTAAACTTCATTTCAGTGGACTTGTTTCAGGTATGGATACATTTTGAGCAAGATAAAAAGTGTATTAAGCAAAATTGCATATTTATGCGTGTTTTTTAATCAGTGATTAATTATTTTTTCCGGACGAACTTCCGGTAATTTTTGTGTCAGTTTACAGACGATGGCCAAATGTCTAAAATATCTTTGTGTTGTGTCCAGCAGGTCACGTAGTAACGAGATATAGCTTGCTAAAATGGCTGCGCGGAAATATATAACGCGCGGAAACCAATGACTAGACGATATTGACAGTTTTACCAACAAATTATTTTCACTGAAAATTATCAGCTAATAATGCGGAGTTAAATAAGCACCAATACAATACCAGTACATACTAGTGATAGGGATTGGAAATTCCTTAATTATCAGCCTTTAGTTTTGGTGAAAATGATTTGCTCCAATATGCATGTTCAGTTCTCTTATATCATTTTTTTTTTCATTTCAACAGATGAAATATCTTATTCTGGCACTTTGGTATGTTTGAATGTGGAAGGCCTTGAAATTGGGATGCAGAAGGCCAGGGTATGTCATAGAATAAAAAAAATGAAATTTTGGCAGTGTTTGTGTTTTATGGTCATAAAACATGGAACATTTTTTTCAAGTAAATCAACCACATGCTTTCTTATTATATCCTAGTAGGTTGGCATGGTTACCTATACAGCGTGTATGCATACCTGGTCATTGTTCGACCATTTTGATTGACAAGTGGAAATATGTCAGTTGTAGCTTGGTCAATGATTATTATACTGAAACTAATCATACGGGAGATGGGGTGACTTTCATGTCATTTTGACATATTTCTAGTTTTTTTTCACTCTACCTCCACTTTCTTGTCGGGGGTGTCCCCCAAGGCACCCGATCTCAAACGACCTTGGCTGTAAAACAGTCGTTTACACCCCCTCCACAAATAACGACCTTGGCTGTAAGACAGTCGTGTACACCCCCTCCACAAATAACGACCTTGGCAGTAAGACCGTCGTTTACACACCCCTCCACAAATAACGACCACGACACTACAGTTACCTTATCATGACTTGGGATACAGCAGGCCAATCCCCTTCTAATATACAATTGTACTTGCGCATTTTAAAGATGTTATGTTAGCATACACTTGATAAGCTATTTTAAGAGAATACATCTACCTTGATCAGATGCGATTTTAGCTCGGGATCCTACCAGGTAAACAATGCACGCAAGTGCCAGGCAAAGTAAGATGGCTAGAACACAAATCCATGGGCGACACGTGGATGAACTTTCTGGAACACTTTGGTTGTAAGGGTCTGAAATGTCCGACGTTGATTTCGTCAGGTATTGCATATCTTGTAGATGGATCATCGTAAACATGTTTCTCTTCCTGGCTTGTTTTGGACAAATCATAGACATTCAGTTGCTCGTAAGTTGTCATAGCCGTTTCTTCTTTCATATTGTCGTGCTTGTTGTGTTGGTTATGTATGATTCTGTTTAATCCGTAGTTTGTATAAAAAAATACCTCAAAACGTAGCCAGATTTCACTAAGACTGTCTCAACAATTGACCCGTAGACACAACGTATACGTGATACGCTATTTACACCACTATACATATATGGCCCTTTCCCATTGGATGATGAAATATCTAAGCAGCGTGTAAAAGTGTTTACATTATAATAAGACTCTGTTTCCCCTTCCAAACCAGGTAGTGAAGGCAATGACTGGTTTTCTCCTTCCCAACCAGGTAGTGAAGGCAATGACTGGTTTTCTCCTTCCCAACCAGGTAGTGAAGGCAATGACTGGTTTTCTCCTTCCCAACCAGGAAGTGAAGGCAATGACTGGTTTTCTCCTTCCCAACCAGGAAGTGAAGGCAATAAATGTTCAACTAAAAAACACAGGCATATCTAAGGAGCTTGTTAACCTATTTAGCATTATAATATTTACTTTCTCCTAACCAGAAAGTGAAGGCAATACATGTCCTATTAAAAAATACAGGCATGTTATATAATTATTGAATTCGGTTTGTTGTTTTTTGGTAATGAAAGTCTTCCTCTTTGTTTTACCTTAGGACTGGTACCTACAACTGGTTCATATATACTTACACCATTACTACATCGTACGTCTGCCACTGACTCAGCTATAATACTTAGTCTTTTGTATTTTCTTTTTCTTCTATTATATTTGACAATCTCTTACGAGTTAAAGAAAGTCTAGACCTAGGTTTTGGTTTTCTTGAAGTACCAATATCAGAAATATCGTGGATAGGAACTGACTCCAATTTAACTGGAGAAGCCAATGTAGCACTTGGAGTTGAGTAAATTATATTTGATGCACCTAACTTAGTTAACTTACTGTCTGGTGCTGGGACTATATCAGTCTCCTCTCTATCACATGGTCTCGGTCGTTTCCTACCTGCTTTCTTGTCTGGTCGCTTTCTTGTATTACGTCTAAGTTGAGCCATATGGAGTTTTCTCTTACCTGCTGTGTCATCTATGCCTATTCTTAACTTTGCAGCAATAATATGATAGCATATACCAATCGATGGACACTGGCAATGCTCTTTAGAATGTAACTGAACTGCGTACTAGTCTTCTTCATTACATGTAAAAAAAAATAGCAGATTATTAAATGAAAAAGAAATAATGAAATAGTTTTTTTTATTTTTTATTTTTTTTACATATTACGCATATTTAGCACGAGTCCTGACGGAGTGATGTCCCCTTAGTACGGGTACGGGAGTAAACAAAACACCCGCGATCACAACAAAGTCAGAATTTCATGTGAAATATGTTGTTTATTTCAACGAAACTTACATAATTATAAACAGTAAGGTATTTTCTTCTATATATCTGAAAATAACATGTTAATTTTCCCTAAATTTCTAATTATATGTGAAAAATCGTGATTTTCACGGTTGACTGCGGCGTACAAGTTTTACTCCCTTGAAATACACATTATCGTCGATTTCTAAATTATTAGATAATACATAAACATTTTTGTAACAGACACATTTAGAAAATAATGTTTGAAATTATTCTTTATTTTTATAAAAAATATAAACGATCGGGTTAATGAGATATTAAAATTAAAATAACTTTATATTCCCGGTACCGCGTTTCAGTCCGGGTCCGGGAACGGGGTACAAGATTTACCTACCACCATGAGAGTGTATGTTGATGCTGTGTGGTAATCAGTATGCAATAGAGCTTTTGATCCTAGTGCGATTACCACCAGGTAATGGTTCCTTTTACAGGAAGCAACTCAATCGTTATCACTTGTGTAGAATCTGTACATATATATAGTGAATTGTTAATAACTTAGTTGAATTTATATCATTGTTGTTGATTCTACCTCCATCATCCGGTATTCCCTACTCGACGACTTCGTGACAATCACGTGTGTGAGGTGTTAAGTAGTAAGTTTGTAAACAACGTCATGACGAGCACTGTTTTAATATGTTATTTGCATCCATAGCCTTACGCATCGAGATATATACAGGTGTGAATGTTAAGTGTATAATTTACGAAACTATTTAAAACGTAGTTTGGCAGGTTTTGACTGTATTGTATTGGAGGTAATTTAAAAGCCTTGCAGCTGTGAACCCGTCAGATTTGTTTTCAGAAGCTGAAGTCTTGAGCAAACTTAGTAATTTCATAACTGACACACCCTTAAAAGCTTTTAACTTTTTGATGTATCAGTTTTGTGCATCCAATTAAGTGTGTTACAGTCATATGAATAACATATCATCTGATGTCGATTACTGTTTAGATTAATTTTAGAGATATAGTTTGAAGACGCTTCACGATCAGTAGATTTCTTTACACACGTGTGCCGAGCCACTGGTCATAAACATTCAATTTATCATAACTCGGTCAATTTTTCAAATATCTAGCTGAAGTTTGGTACAAATAGGTGTATCAGTAGCATAGTCATATGAATAGCACACAGGGGCTTGGTTTCGGGATACTTTCGGTTAGTATTAAAGCTTATACCTTCACGGATGTAATGTATGTGTGCGTGTGTGTCGGGGCCGGTATGTACATGTGTCGAACTACCGGGAAGCCTCCATGTGATAGTGCGGGTCTGATGCCGACTTTATAGCTATCATATCTCACTGAAACATCATTCCGAAGGCACCAAACACAGCATTTCGCCCGGTCACAGGTCACATTATACTGATAACCGGTGAACCATTAAGAAAAAGTGTTTTTTTAAAGTAAAACGGCATTAAGGGATAAGAATAAAATTTTCAAAAATTAAATATCATTATAGTCTTATATCTATGCCATGTTGCATCCTTATCCCAACATGCCTTTTATGTACAATCAGCGAATACACATTGGAAACAGAAAGAACAATTGATAAAATAATGAAATGGGTTAACTTTAACGATTAAAACACATACTTTCTGGAGGCCAGGGGAATTGAAATTACCCGCAAATCAAATGTTACATACTAAATTAATCATTTTACTGTAGTTGTGGTGACAAATGCCATTTTGTAATTTAAGTTAACTTTGATAAGTAAGAAAGCAAATCAGGACCAGGAACTAAAAATTAGTGTCGCAAATTGTTTTGGTCATATGTCTTACACATTTGGTATACACTGAGCATTAAAGACTGCTGTCGTCAAAATTAGGTTTTAATAGCTAATTTGTTCACATATGAATTAAATTTAATCTCATTTAATACACTGTACACAATACGATACAAATACAATAAGAAACAAATTGATTTGTTTACTTATTTTAAAACATTTCAATAAAATTTGATCCTTTGATGTTTTGAGTTGAAATGCAACCTGATAAGATATATTCTTAACAGAATTTCACGCCCTAAAACAGAGATTACATGTAAAGAGGAAAAGAGTCGTGGAAGATGAATTGACCTAAAACACATAAAAATAGTATATATTATATACATGTTTCCTATAAGGAGTAGGTCTTTTTAAATACCGCTGCTTTTCCTAAATCTATAAAGCTGGTCATGGCTCTTGTTAGTACCTGATCAGAGCAATGGTAAATTGTGTTGGTATCATATCACTGCCTTACGGGGCACATTATTGTATATCACAACTCGTGCTTATTTTCAGACATATCATAACAAAGCCCCCCCCACCACCACCACCACCACCACAAAAAAAACTACAGAGACACGCACTGATGTCCTAAGTGAAAAAAAGTTTAGTCAGAGGTTTGCTGAAAGTATGATACGAAAATAAACAATCTGACCATTACACAAACGCCAGTGCACCGTTTTGGATATGACACTATACATTTACCTCATTGTAGAAACTCGTCTGCTCGTGTCTGAATGCTTCGGCTCGGTATGGGTCCTTGGAAACATTGACGATGACTCGAGACATTTATTTTCAGTTGCAATTTTCAGACGCTCTGTCGTATCACTTGAAGCTATTTACTGTCATTTATTACTTATTTCTGAACAAAATCTCTGTCAACAGTCAAGACGAAATAGCTGTAATGCTTCGAATGAAATTTTCAACGTCAAGACCTAGCGAAGCGTCGCCTTCAGTGCGATTGGTAATGGTCATAATTCTTCCATCGGAAATTACGGTAATGACCTGTTCTATTCAAGTGATGATAACAAACTCTGCGTATAGTTTGTTCTATTAAACATGAAGATAAGTGAGCAATAATAATGGAAAGCACATATTCTTTCACTTTCAGGCTTCACCTCAGCAGCTATCATATCGCTGTCATCAGCTCCGATGGTAAACTACCGGTGTAAACGACCTTCGTTCTTAAATACGGTTATTTAAATATAAAAAATGGTTGCACCGGATACTTTTAATTTTTCTTTGACGTTCTTAGTTTTTGTAAGTAATTTTTAATGCCACTTTTTAAATCGAAGCGTGGTGTCGTTTGGTTACCGTAAATCATTCTGAAATTTAGCCAACATGCGCAGTGGCGCTAGAATTGAGAAGGATGGACCCACCTTAAGCTCATTTTGGAAATAGCATAATATGTTTCTTATTTACCTTACCCCATTTAGTACCCCGAAAATATACTTTCGGTCAAACTGTTGCCTTAGTTTTGCGCATGTAATACAATAGGACATCTTTGAACAAATAAAGGAGGTGAGCGGCCCCAACTCATCCTTTGTTTCTTTTATAGGATTAAGCTCCTTTTTAAAAACTAAGATCAATAAAGGATGTTTCTCCATGAATGTAATCAATGTGTATATGCGTTTATGTATGCTACTGGCAGTATCTTGGTGAATCTGCCTCCTA